TACTCTGAGTGAAACTGACCCTTATCTGTTCAGAACATTAGGTAATATAATATGTCATTTTGTAGATGCAAATATTGATTTTCTATTGGTTATAAATTATACATGATGAAATGTAAGAGAGAACTATTAACAAATTCTGAAAGAGAGGATGTGACAGGTGGGTGTGGCAGGAAGGGGTTTATTTTCTATTTGATAGCTCTGTAACCAAACAAAATTGAAGGCTATAAAAATTATGGTTTGTCTGAGCAATGACAATTTTATAGTGAGTAATTTACGTTTCATTTCATAGTTACTCAGGTGGGGTGGTGGATAAAATAGAGAAGAAAAGCTACCTAGAGAAAATGTGTCAGGTGTGTAACACTGGGGGATATTCAGGATTTTTTTTTAAATATCGCCTTATAGAATTAAGAACATAAAACTTATATACTATTAAAATATGGATTATTAGCTAAGATTATATGCTATACTAATCGGTATAACATAAACAAAAAGTAGTTTATTAAACATTTTGAATGTAAGACACAAAGCAATGCGACTTGGGCAGTAAAGGATACCCATAAGGATAGAAATAAACAATTTCCAGCTTCCCGTGCCTCACTCCATCCCCATCAGATGTCTAAATGATTGTGCTAAGTTCAGTACCATCTAGTCAATTTATTTTTGCCATTTTGCTGCTTTTCTTAATTACCCTTAAATATCAGTATGGAATCGAAAGGTAAAGTATATTCAAGTGTTATGGGCAAAGAAAACCCACAAAGTTATGACATTAGGAGAGAAAATTCAGATCATTGATAAGTTACAAAGCAGAATGAGTGTAGCATTCATAGATCGGGAATATGGTGTGAAGGAGTCTTCCATACATACGATTAGGAGCAGTGAAAATGCATACTGTGCAAGTGTTAAGGCTATAAGTGCTAAGGTTTCTAAAGTCTGTAGGAGGAATTCGTTCATGTAAAAATGGAGAAATTATTCAATGTGTGGATCAGTGAACAAGTGAACAAAAACGGCTTTGTTGTGGATAGCATAGCTATACATGAGAAATTTATATGAATAAGTAGTCTTCAATGAGAGTGGAAGTGCTACAGATACCAATGAGTTTCAGGCAAATGAAGGCTGGTTTGCCAAATTTAAGCTACCATAACGTGAAACTGGGTCAGGCGATAGCGATGCAGCTGCATGGTTCAAGCCATGGTTTATGAATTCATTAAGGAAAAGAGATATGCCTCTCAACAGGTGTTTAATGCAGATGAGACAGGGCTCTTTATAAGTAGATGGGCTACCGGACGTACATCGTCAAGGGGCAGAAGGTAGCATTCGGGTTTAAGGCCTTTAAGAACAGGCTCACTTTGCTTTCTTTGCGGGAATGCATCGGGTGACTTTAAATGCAAGCCTATGTTAGTGATTCACTCTGCGAACCTATATGCATTAAAAGTAAAAAATAAGCAACATTTGCCTGTTGTTTGTTGTTCAAATAAAAAGTCTTGGGTAACCAGGATGCTTCTTAATGACTGGTTGGAAAATCATATTGTGCATGAGGTTAAAGAATACCTGACGAAGAAGAACCTCGACTTTAAGTTTAGGGTAATGCTCCTGTCCATGACCCTGACATACTGCAATTCAGCCATTCTAATGTGGATATAATATTTTACCTCCCAATACCACGTCCATCCTGCAACTGATGGACCAAGGAGTAATAAAGACATTCAAGTTTTACTATACTAGGAATGTCTACCAATGTGTAACCCAAGCTATGGACTCCAGTGTTTTTGAAAACTTAATCAAGTTTTGGAAAGCGTATAACATTAAGGACTGTATTGATATCACCAAAATGCAATAGGGTGAGGTGAAAGAGTCTACCATAAATGCATACTGGCATCATCTTTGATCTGAAGTCTTGAACAAGACTTGAGACTTGGTTGAGAAGAAAGTTGCTGATATTGTGAGACTCATTAAAGAAATCGAGGGCGATGGGTTTGATAATATGAGGGATGAGGAGGTGGTTGAGCTGCTGGAATCCCATTACCAAGAGCCAACAACTGAAGAACTTGAAGCTTTGATAACCTTTGGCAACAGTAATAGCGATGAAGCTGCTGAAGAGACAGAATCTGCTAAACCCATCCTCACAGTGAAGGCTTCTTTGCAAGGCAGATGAGCTCACAGAAATGCCTGTAGACATGGATTCCATAATGGAGAGAAGCATTAAATTTAAAAGAGGATTTAATGATGCTCTAGCACTCTACAGAGAAATCTTGAAAGATTTGGGGTAGAAAGCCACACAGCCAAAAATTACTGTATTTATGAAGCCCAAGTCTGCCGATGTAATACCTTCTGACTCCATTCCATCGACTTCTACATCTGCTTCATTGGAGTTTGAGGCCGAATTTTCTGATGATCCATATAATCCATCGGCCTTAAACTAACCTCTCAGCCTCTAAATCTATTATCATCATCATTGCAAGTCTTTCTCTCATCAACAAAAGGTCTTGTCTTCATCATTCATAGGTGAGTGTTACAATAAAATGCAGTACAGTATTATTTCATTTATCTTATTTTCAATTACAGGTGCAGAATATCACATGTGAATGTTATTATGTTTATGATTTTAAATTTTAGTTCATATACAATACTGTATAGGTAGAGCTTTTTATTTATGTGTGAAAAAAATACATTTATCAGAGACTTAACGTGGCTGTGTTCCTGTATCCCTGTTAATCCTATAAGGTATTGAGTTCCTTCAATACCAATTTTCACAACATGGCTTGCTCGAGGAACGTATTCCCCGTGTTGGAGGAGGGCCCACTGTATGTGTTGCCACCATTTTAGCACAGAAAGTAAATACCGAAAAACATTTTCAAATCTCTATATCATTAAAGCAGATATAAAATATTTTACATGCCTGCATATGACAATATCTCAGGTGAATAATACAGAGCAGTAAACAGCTAGAGCACAAGAGCTTTAACAACTTTCTTGATAAACTTCTTAAGTGGCACCACACAAATATCTGATAAAATTAAATTTATAGAAATTTCTGTAATAATATGATGGGGGTATAAAACACGTGCTATGCCTGCATACCACATCTGTAATATAACCTCTTCATTTCCGGATCCATCTTAGAAGTTCTCAACTCTTTCTTTCGAGCCTGTCAAATATAAAAGACTGTTTAGTGTAGATATTATTAATTTATTCATTTTGTGTTTGTTTGTTTTGAATTTCGCGCAAAGCTACACAAGGGCTATCTGCGCTAGCCATCCATAATTTAGCAGTGTAAACTAAACGGAAGGTAGCTAGTCATCACCACCCACCGCCAACTCTTGGGCTACGTTTTTAAGAATGAATAGTGGGATTGATTGTCACATTATAACACTCCCACGGCTGAAAGGGCGAGCATGTTCGGGATGGGGATTCAAACCCGCGACCCGCAGAATGCGAGTCGAGCTCCCTAACCACCTGGCCATGCCGGGCCTTTATTTTATGAGTGAATATTTCATGATTGTTTAGTTTTTAATAACAAGAGATTTAAAGGCAATAGCTATGACAAGTTTGATTACGTGACTCAGTAAGATTCGTACATTGTGTTTATAATTCGTTGATATCAAACATCGTGTGCAATCCATTGATGTCGAGGATATAAATATTTCTAGAAGCACTAAGTGATAGACGTATAAATACCGGCAAGCAGACGAAAAATAGAGCGGAAGAGAGTAAGGTACAGCCAACAAAAGGAAAATTTCGGTCAGAGAAAAGTTAAAAACAAAGTTAATTGTTGTGGGAGTGAAAAGCCTAACATTTGATATGCTAGAGTGAGAATAAAATATCTATGGCACTCATACATTTGCGTGTAGGGCGAATCGCGCATAATCGAATTTTCCTTGTTCGCCAGATAATTGGTTGCTTTTATTTTTTGCGTGTATAAGCGAATCCGTGCTGAACGAACCTGCATTGTAGGAGGGTTTACTGTATTTCAGAAAGTTATTGAGGTTACCTTGTTCTATTTACTTAATTTCTATATTCTCTATAATGTGTAATGTTTATTCTACCCAAGAGTATATCACAGTACCATATACAATTCAGGTTAAACAGATTACTATTATAATATCTTTGTTGGCTGAGTTTACTTTGTCCAAGAACAGCCAACCTATATTATGGGAAAACAAAGGCCGTGAGGAGAAGCTGTCAACTGAACAAAGAAACTGAGTTTACTTCTTGAATTCAGACATGCTTTCTTAGGTCAGCTTTACTTGGTTT